AGTGCTCGTCGAACGGCGCTGTGTTGCGACGGGACCATGCCGCCGCGCCCTGCGCCACCGATCCAACGATCTCAGGTACGCGAGATCCCATTATCATAACACCCGCGGAAAATCGCTGGCCGACTTCCGCGGACTCGGGGGCGGCCGCATCAGCCAGCAGCCCCCGCTCACTCGCGCGACTGTGCCCCGCGCGCGCTGTCAACAACCGAAAACGTGTCCAACGCCGGCCCTTTGATCGCGTCCCGCCGGGATCAACGGATGGAATTACTCGTGTGTACCCTCTTCTGTCGATTCCCGTCCCTTCCACTTGCTCTCCGCTTGGTTCTCCATTCTTTCGTGGTACACCTTGGGAGATTTCCAGGATTCACGCGTGTCGGAAAGTTTCGCTCTCCGCGCGACTCGTTCTGTACGATCGTCTTCTTCGCTGGTTCGAATTTCCTTCGATTCATCTTCTTCTCGGTGTTTTGTTTCATCGCGGTTCATCTTTCCCCTGATTGTTCGGCGTGCTTTCACGTCACGGTCCCGGCTTTGATAGTGACCACGAGAGACGCGGCTCGATCGCGGTGTCGGTTCCGTTCTCCGCGGCGATCAGTGCGCGGTCTTCGACGCTGGCGATCGAACGGCTCGCCTCGATCCCCCGAGGGGGAAGGGAAGAAGAGGAATGAGGATCCTGCGGAGCGTAAGATTGGAAACGGGATCGTACGGTTCGCCGTACTGCACTCGAGGGGGTGACGTGCCCGTTAATCGACCGGTTATCGATTAATTATAAAGAGAGAAAATAGGAAAGCCCGAGGAAAGAAAGAAAAGAAACCGGGACCCGAGGGAGACGGAGGAAGTTATTATCGTAGGACGCATCTTCAGCCGGCGTGTCCTCCTTTCCCCGTCGTCGAGCCGCCGCTGAAGCGTCTCGTGTTCCGTTCGATCGTGGGAATTCCGGCCGGCGCGGCGTTCTCGATCAGCGATGGATCCCGCGGCTCGAGAACCCGGGGAGAACCTGGATCCGTAAATGAGATGGAGAATATCGTGGTCCGTGCACATGTCGCTCCGTTTCAGCTGGGAAATGTTGCACGCTGGTGCCTCGATGGTGGACGACTGTCAGGACCATGTCGCGTCTCCTAACGAGGCAGCTGGATTTCAACAATTGCGATACATCGATCTCGATGCTTGCTTCTAACGAGGCAGGTGGATTTCAAGAATCGCGATACGTCGGTTTTGATGCTTCAACGAAATGAAAGATAGATTGTGGGTGTCCGATATTATCGCCGTATCTTCTAACGAGGCAGGTGGATTTCAAGAATCGCGATACGTCGGTCTCGATGCTTCAACGAAATGAAAGATAGATCGTGGGTGTTCGATATAGTCGTCGTATCTTCTAACGAGGCAGGTGGATTCCAAGAATCGCGATGCGTCGGTCGCGATGCTCGTTTCAATGAGATGAAAGGTAGAATGTGGATGTTCGATGTTATCGTCGCGCTGTCACGTGTCACGCGATTCAAAGCAGGTTCAAAAGTGACGACGGCTTTGCATCTGTTATACTATCGAGATAAAGATTCTACGACTATCGACGTATTATTCAGGTAGAATCTGGTTCGCTATCGAGGCGAACATTTGGGAACTACCGAGGCGAAAAATCCTCCAGTGTCAAAGCAGAAATTGATCCACCATTGAGGCGAGAATTTAGCCAACTATCGAAGCAGAACTTCTTCTATTACCGAAGCGAAGATCGATCCACTATCGAAGCAGAAAATCGTCCACCGTCGAGGCAAAAAAGTAGTCTCGCGACACGGAAATTCTCCAGTCGAAACGAAAATCCACCGACTATCAAAGCAACAACCTATCGAGGCGGCTGCCACTCTCGCCTTCAAAAAACGCCGACACCATGGTAGCATAGAAATCTCCCAAGGAAAGGGGAGCAAGAGAAAGAGCACATGCATTTTCGGTCGAGTGTAGATGAAGTGGGTCCTTGGGCAGTTCGCGGTCTCTCCGTTTACCCTCTTTCGCCGTGTCTTGGGGGGTACGGTTTGTGTACGTCCCGGGACCGCGCGCGTCGCGCCGGTGTGAAATGATTAAAACCGTTTTGTGGGGAAGGCCGCAGCTTTCTGGCTCTGTGCGTCGAAGATCAAAGAAACCGTGGGAGGATTGCACGCCGGATATCCAAGCGGATTCAGAGAGAGGGATGGCTTTTGATAATGCACACCGGCTCGCGCGCCGCGCGGGAGAGACGGAGAGAGAGAGAGAGAGAGATAGAGAGGCGGAGGCATCGTCGGTTTACTACCCTCGCGTCTTGTCAGCGGGGACCGATTTTCTCCTCGTTTAAAGGTTTAAAGGCTAGCTTGTTTAAACTGGCCGCGTAGTCGTGTGGTTAGCCGGCTTCTGAAACCCGCGTTAATTAACGCGGACCACGCGACCACGTTCCGAATGTGTGTATGTGTGTGTTCCCTCTCAACCGTCATCCCTTTCCTCTCTCTTTTAACCTTCGCCTTTTCCTATTCATCGGAATCACATTTATCCCCGGTCCTCCGCTTCTGCGTGGCGGCACCGCTCGCATTATCTCGGGCTGCCCGGTTTTTTCATCCGCGCTGCCGCCGCTTCAATGGCGTTTCAACGAGTTTTTAAGTTTCGTGGGAAAGCGAACGGGAGCCGGCTGCCGCCGCGAGGAGGAAACGTTGCAAGCTTTTGGCGGGATCGTTTGTAAGGGGTGTATTGGTTTCCTTCGATTGCGCGGAGGGTGCCGCCTTCTTTGATCACGCCGCTCTCCTTTCCTTACGTAAAATGCTTTATAGGTTTTCGCGTTCCCGTAAAAATAGAGAGCCTGGGGTCGGTTAACGTAGTCGTAAGTCCGGTCCGGTGGCTCGACGCTTTTAATCAATTGAACTTTCGCGAACCGTCCTTCCTCCCTTGAAGAACCACGATCCATATTCATCGCGTGTATCGGCGCGGCAAATACGCTTTTCAACCCTCCCCCCGTTCCTCGTTTGTACAGGCGAATAGAAATATTAGGCCGTGACGCGAGGAAGTTAATTGTGATTATTAATCCTTAACGGACCGGAAGCGTTTCGAGTTGATCGAAAAATACCGTAACGTAGATAACAAGCGGAGGCGAACGCAAAAGTGTGTTCGTTGTAAATATTAGAATAGCAGTGATGACAGTAATAACATGAGTTTCGAATAAACTTCATTGGACCTAGTAAGTAAAAGAAAATTGCTTCGTTAAGGGTTGATAAGTCATCTATAGTCACTTCTGCGGAGAAAACTTTGTTCTTAAAACTCTTCCGACTTTTTCAACAATTACTTACTTGTGTCACTATTCGATAGATCGTTTTGCTAATGGTTGCAAGAAATGGCTGACTTCTGGCCGAAGCTTAGCAGTCTGGACTGTTCTCGTTTAGCTACCGATCGATCGCCGCGTAATCGTATCGACGAGTAACGAGTAATGAACGATTTCGACCGATTAAATCCACATTCTCTCAACGGCCGTTTCCTTTTCAAAGCGTCGCACGGTTCCCAGTGAATAACAAAGTGAAACGACGGGAAGAACATTGTTCCAGTGGCAGGGGGTGGATCACGGGGGTCGAAGCGTGGACAAGGGAACAACGGAGAGTAGCGTGGTCGTCGCTGTTGCCGTAAACTATCTCGAGTGTTTCGACCCGTCCTTGATCTTTTCCTATGTTCGAGCAGCACTCGGCTATAAAGAGGGAGGAGTTCGAGTATCGCGGGCCGGGACTCGATTCGGAAAAACGGAAACACGGCTGCCCATCAATTGGCAATTAAAGCGGCTCACCCTATTCAACGGTGCCCGGCGAAAGAAACGAAGCTTATCGTTCGCAGGCATCGTCGGGAAAGTCTAAAAAGAAAAGGAGGAGCACGGCAAACAGAAAGTGACGGAGGGGCGGCGCGGAGGGGGCCGCGGGAAGTGAGAAATGTCTGCAAAATAACGTCTCGCTGTTCTTCTTTTTCGCCTCGTTACACCTCGGCGGCCGATATACTCGGCCGACGGCGCGCGAGCATCTCGGGCACGGGCGCGGATATTTCATTGTTACGGGCTGGAATATTTTTCGCTGGCAGGAAATAATGCTCGTCCCGTCTTGTCTCGTTAGGAGGATTCCTGCAGCCGTTCTTGCGTGTCAGTCGCGCGAGCTCTCGCTCGCTGGTTGCGCGGCGATTCAGCCGCCTTTATGCCGCCTCGCGACCGGATTAATGGGACAGAAAGTGGAAAAGATACTTTTCGGTTGGCCGGCCTCCCGCGGCCCTCCCCCGCGCCGCCCGCGAAACAAAGTTCAGTTGCGCGCCGCCGGTTCGTTAGGGGAAACCAGTTTTCAAACCTGCCCCCCTACCCCGTTCGCTCCTGTTTCGTCCGGCGACCGCCATTCTCCTTCGTTCCCGGTGAATTTCAAGCCGGCCTAACAAGAACCGCCGAGCTTGTCCTGGGTATCGGCGAAATGACTATGTATTATACTCTCGGCTGATGGTGGCCCGAGATTCCCAGGCCGCGCGGTCGTGTGTCATTCGCGCGACACCCGTTTCCCGGACATTTTGTCGTGCCGCGCCGGGCAACGGGAACGCCGTGAAAAGCCGGGGGAATCTTATTGTTTGCCTCGAGTCTTCCTTTTCTTCCTTCGCCCCTCGCAGCCTTAGATGTCCCCCTTTTGTCGGGGTTGCCGCGTTATGGGATTTTTCGACAAATTTACTGTCGGGCTAGATTCGACCGGTGTCAACGCTGCTGCGCGGGCTGTTCGCGCGTTATTTGTTGCGATGCGTGCCGGCCATTTTGTCGGGCTGCAACGTGAACAGCCGAGGTCGCTGGAAGTCATGGGAATCTTATTATTTAGGGTGAGTCTCGTGTTTCCTTTTTCTTCGGTGTTGTTTTGTTAGGGGTATTGTGTTCCAGAGTCCCCTGACAAATTCACTGTCAGGTTAAATTTGATCGAAGGTTACTCGTTTGTACGTAATCGGACATTTGTCGGATTGCAGAGTGAACGAGTGATGTTATAGGAAGCTGTAAGAATGTTATTGTTTGGGGCGAGCCTTTTCATTCCTTCGTCCATTGCTTTCTTACGATGTTCTTTTGGTTGAAGGTTCTGGCAGAGCGCTGGAATACCTCGACAAATTTACTGTCACGCTAGATTTGACCGATGTCACCCCCTCTGCGCAAACTGTTCACGCGTTATTCGTCTACTCGTGTTTGCGTTATCGATAATGCGTCCCGTGGTGTGAAGCGGATAATAGGGTAAAGGGCGCGGGTTCATTTCACGCGATATTTCCGCGCCGGTTGACGCCGATTATCCGGAGGAAAAGGGACCGGCGCGTTCGATCGAGGGTGCGAGGGCCGCGAAATAATTCAACGGGCCACCTAATTTATTATGTATTCTTCTGAATCGCACGTACGGAGCACGCTCGCAAATTGATTCATCCCCCGTTCGCTGTTATTCCGAGGACGGAACGGCGGCACGTCGAAACTTCTTTTACGGTCCATTTTTCTGCCATTTTACAGCCGCTAAGGAGAACCAGTCGGGGACAAAATTGTGGGGTCGGGTCGTCGGGAAGTCAAAGTTGGCGAGTAACTTTCCTTGAGACATTCAGCCGTTTCCCCCGTTTTTATCGCGACTTACCTAATTACACTAAGCATTCCTCATAAGTATTAAAAAATTTCAAGCACTGAAACACTCGTGAATCCTGAAGTTATCCAGAAACATAATGAACCTTCGCCGAATTTCTCCCACCCCTTTCCCTTCGCCGTAACTTGGATAATTCCATTAGAAATCTCTTAAAAAACGCGTAAACCATAATCGAAATAAGAAAAACAAGAAACTATTTCATTAACTAGACACGTATTCTCTCGCAATCAATATTAGCTTCGACGAAAACCCTGAGCGCCGCACCGCATCGCTTTTTTATCACCACCGTCGCGATCGTTCCGCCATCGACATCCGACTCGATCATTGTGACACGATTCTCGTTTATTATTCCATAAATCCGTCCCGCGAACTCCCACAGTTCACGCCCTAATAATTAACCGTTTTCATCCTGCGAGCCCTTAATTCTCCTCGAAGCAGCCCGCTTAAGCACGTATACACGCGCGTGTACATCGTCTAGAATCTCGGGGCGCGGATCGCAAGACTCGCATCGCATCCCCCGTTAGTATTTAATAAACATTTCGCCCCCGGGGGCCGCCGGTTAAACGGGTAAACAGGGATTTCGCGATCTACGGGGCTTTCGGGGAACTTTCGATATCGTTTCTCGGCACCCGGGTTACTGCGTGAATCGTGCAATGAATTTACGCCATTTTCCTTTCGTCTCTTTCTCACTCTCATTTATATCTCTTATACTCCCATCTATAAGAGTGAACACTGAAAGGAAAGAGAGAAGAAGGGGAGTTCGTAGCGTGAGGAGGGTAGAAAGTGAAGGGAAGAAAAGAGAACGAATATAGCATGCGTGGGAACTGTATATGAACGTCTTAGGTTGATAGGGTAAAAGTAGAAAGTGAACGAAGAAGAAAAAGGAGAGGATATATTGCGTCGGAGAATCTTAACACTAGAACTACCATACCAGTCAAAATGGTTTCAGTTTTTCTGTGTCGCAATTATTGATATCTCCAAGGCATTGAATATTTCACTTGAATACTATAACGAATGTCTGAAGACACCGAAAATAATCTATTGCTACAATATTCATAGCGATTACATTTCCATGGTATCAAATGCTCGGTAGTTCTAGTGTTAATCTTCCATCCGTTCTTTCTCTCTCACACTTCTTCCTTCCATCTCTCTCTCTCTCTTTCTCTCTTAGACGTACTCCACTCTGTCTATTCCTGAATTCCTCACACATTTACCTTGCTCTCTTTACTCCTGTTTCTCTCTCACGTTCACTCTCGCCTCTTTGCTTCTGTTCCCGTCTCTCTCAGCGACTGTTTCTCCCTCGAACTTACTCTCCTCTGTCCATGCCTCCTCCATCCCTCTCGCACCTGTAACGCGGCGAACGAGTACAGGCTTCCCGATGAAATATTCCCCGACCCCACGGTTCAACCGTTCGAGAGAGGGTTTTGCAAGTGTTCGAGGTGTTGGTGAATTTTCGCCGCGTAGGGGAGAACGGCATAGGTTATTGATTATCGTGAATGGCTTTATAAATAACCGATCGTGTAGGAGCAGCCGTCGGAGACGCGTAAATATCGCTCGCCGGGGCGATTCTTTAAAA